CCCCCCCCCCAGTTTTTAAGAGCAAGCTAAAGATACTAGTGTAGATTCTTACTGTTCTTTCCATTTTTACAGCAAGTGTTAGACCGGGTAAGTCGAATGACCCAGGGAGACTTAGTGATGTCAATGGATCAACTGTTGACCAAACCACGTTTAGGAACCTGTCATAAATTTTATATGCAAGTTTTTCAGTTGCCCAATGGTGAGTAAAGCTTGATGTTCTTAGCTTGTGTGTGTGAAGAGATAAATGCTTTGCTCCTCTTAACTATATCTGAACTGTTGGGTGCCTTGTGTGATCAAGTATTATCCTTCCTACTCATTTTTCTTTACTTTGTTACATCTTGGAACTACAGTGAACTGTCTGTGGACAGGAAAGCATCATCTTACTAAGATGAGACACACTAGATTTTAGTTAGGCTGGCTTCTTCCTTCCAAACTGTTTTTTCTCTTCCCACCACCCTGGAGTTTGTCTAGTCCAACTTCCTGTTCAAAACAGGAAGGATTAATTTCAATGCAGGATCAGATTTCTAAGGCTTTGTCAGCCAACTGTTGAAAATATTGCAGAACAGAGATTTCATAGACTGTCTGGGCACCTGTTCTGGGCTTAACCATCCTCAGCATAAAGAATTTTTCTACGTAGAAGCAGAGAATCATAGAACAGCCCGGATTGGAAGGGACCTCAAAAGATCATCTGGTCCAACCTTAACATACCCAATCAAAATTTGCCTTGTTGCAATTTGTGCACACTGCCCCTTGTCCAGTCATTGTGCACCTTTGTGAAATCAGGTTCCTTTTTTCTCAGTAACCCCCTTTAGGCAGTGGAAGTCTGCAAAGGAAGAAGGAAGACATGCTGCTTGACAGGTTACCAGTGGTGCTGGCACACTTAAATGCTGTTGATGCAAATCTTTGTGGAGATGCAGTCTTTCCATCTCTTCCCCCCCTTCCACTTCCCCATGCCCCCTTCCAGCCTTTAAATTGCGCTCAAAATCTTGTAGGCTTTTGACTTGTAAAGATGAGCAAATGTCCCTGGGACGATAGCAGTTCTTTTGCTTCACTGCTGCAGACTCTACAGTAATCTTAGAATATCCCGTTTAGGCCAACATGTTCCATGTGGCCTTCACTTGGACTTTATGATGACTTGTTTTACAAAACAGGCAAAGTTTTATAGCAAATGCTTGTTTTGCTTGTAAAAATAAGTTATTTCTGTATAGTGATGTGAATTTCTGCAGCTGGATTGTGCTACCAGTGTTACTTGCTCTTAGTCTCTGTTACAGTCTCTTCAGTGTGTGAGATACCTAAGAGCAGGTTAACCGTAGTTGTCATCCTAACTCCTATGGTTTGGGTTTTTGTTTTTTGTTTTGTTTTTTTTTTTTCCTTCTAGATCAGACAAAAACCCTGATGTTCTTTGAAGGGTGTCCCCAGCACCTGGGTTGCACTATCAAGTTGTGTGGTGCTGCAGAGTACGAGCTGGCCCGTGTGAAAGAGATTCTGATCTTCATGGTCTGTGTGGCTTATCATTCCCAGCTGGAAATCTCTTTCCTGATGGATGAGTTTGCCATGCCCCCTACTCTGACCAAAAACACCTCCTTTCACTCCCTTATTGAGGAGCCAGGAGATGAAAATGAACAACAGAACCTCTTCAATGGTGAGGATTTCAGCACAGCAGTCAGAGACATTGAACTATCCTCTGAAAAGCTGCCTGTAATTTCTGAGTCAGTGTCCTCTGAGGTCAGCTTGCTTGAACAAAGAGGTTTATTTGAGAGAGGTGACCAAGAGAACAGTCAACTGGAAACGGCGTCCTCAAAACAGCAAGAGCACCACAAAGTGGAGTCACCATTTCCAGTGTTCAACTCTGTACCTCCTGCAATACCTGAAACGTCCCTGCTGCCCCTCCATGGCATGGACCAGCACTTGGTCACTCTGGATAGCCAGACACTAGAGCCTCTTCAACAGGCAGATGATCTGCAGGAGTCCAAGAGTCAGATGAGAGTCTTCAGAGACCCCCTCCAGGATGATACTGGTTTATATGTTATGGAAGAGGTAACTTCTTCTGAGGATCGTCTCAAGACTTACTCTGCAGCATTTAAGCAGGAGTTGAAAGATGTCATTCTCTGTATTTCTCCTGTAATGATGTTCCGTGAACCATTTCTTTTGACTGAAAAGGGCATGAGGTGCCCTGCCCGAGAATACTTCCCTGAGCAAGTTTATTGGTCTCCTCTCCTCAATAAGGAATACAAGGAGTTGGAGAGCAGAAGGAAGAGACAATTATTGCGGGATCTCTCCGGACTACAAGGGATGAATGGGAGTATCCAAGCCAAGGCTATCCAAATCTTACCTTCTCACGAGTTGGTTAATACTAGAATAGCAGAACATCTAGGTGATAGCCAGAGCTTAGCCAGAATGCTGGCTGACTATCGGGCCAGAGGAGGGAGGATACTACAGAAAAGCACAGATCCCTTTGCCCAAAGTAAGGATGTGTCTAGTGTCCCTGCTGGAAAAACTGGGTGCAGAATTGAAGAGGATGAGAAGGGACCGGCTCAGACTGAATCCTCATGGTCTCATAAGGTAAGATTCAAAGCTGAAAACCCAGGTTACATCAGCATCAGTTTCTCCTGGTAATACAGAAGGTGTAGTGTCTCATTAAATGTTAAACCAGAGTTTTGTGTGGTGGTTTTTTGTTGTTGTGGGGGTTTTTTTGTTTTGTTTTTTTTTTGTGGGAGGGTGGGGGTTGACTGGGTCAAAACTGCATTTTAGGTTGCAGTGCTCTGGGTACAAGTCAGTATAACCAGGGACTGTGTGGATATAAGAAAGCAGAACAAGAGACTGACTGCAAAATTTCCCTGAGAAGGAAAGAGATGGTGAGACTCTACTTTCTGAGAAATGCAGAAAGTCAGCCAAGAATCAGTGTATTACATTGCCTATCAGCTCAGCTGTACATGAGTGATTCCTGAAAATGAGTACATGAAGGGGGAGCAAACTTAAAGAAGTTGTTTCTGAAACTGAGCTTTCTTGCTGCTTGTATTGGTGATTTCTAAAAGTGTAATATTTTCATTTTCAGAGGGCTTAATGTCATGGAAACAGCAGTAGGCTGTAATTAAAGTATTTCTCTCTTTGTAAAAGTTTGTAAAAGTAAAAGATCTGAAGAAATGTCAGAATCTCATAATGGAGGGGGGGAATCTTCTTTGAAATTTCAAAGCAAGGCAGTATGTGCTTGTAATCAAAATATTTAAAGTTTTGGGAAACTGCCATGAAAGAAACTAATTTTTATCGGAGGAAAAGGATCTTGGAACTTTCTTGAACTGGAAGGTGCTCAGGAAAAAAGTCTATGAACAAGAGTAGCAGAACTGATCTCTGGAAATAGTCAAATATTTTGGTCCCTGAGCCAATCAGTCCCCAAGTTCATGAGTAGAAGTCGCTTTTTAATGACTTTTTAGTGCTTTAGTCACTTTTTAGTGCTTAAATGCAAATCTGTATAGCTTCACAGGCCATAATCTTATGAACTGGAAGACTAGCCCTTACTCTGGATCAGACTGATTGATGCTGTTTTAAATTTATTCAGTGATCAAAGAAAAGTATTTGGTAACTTCATAGTTCTGTAGGGCGTGGAAGGGCAAGCAGCTCTGTTCCAGCAGCAGCGTGGTAAATCTCTTCACAGAGGACAGAAAGTTGGAAGTTTTTCTATAGCCTGAATGAGTAATTGAGGTATAATATATTGGCAGAGTTTTGACTCCAAGGTGTCTTAAACTGTACAGTGCTTTGGAGACTCTGGATGTTTGTCTCAGCGCTTTTGTTGTTTACTGTTTCCCTTGGCTTCCTTTCCACAGAAGCACATGCGTGTGCATTGGTTTCATTATGCATATTAGTTATGCAGTTCTAAAAATGGCAGTTAGCAATTATACATGGTACAAGTCTACCTGAAGCTCATAGATAATGCAAGGTTAATCTGTACAAAAGGAGCAAGCAGAGATTGGTCTGTAAATAACACTACTAAAATAGGATTTTGTCATCAGGAGTTGTGTGTGGATGGAGGTGTCTGTAACCAGTAAATGGGTTGTTTTCTCTCTACCAGGTGGATTGCCTGAGTCCAGTAAACCATCAGAGGCTCTGTGTTCTCTTCAGTAGCTCTTCTGCTCAGTCCAGCAATGCTCCAAGTGCCTGTGTTAGCCCCTGGTATGAAAACTACTCTTCTACAGCTGGTATAGTTGCTATCTTTTTTCCTAAGTCAAGGTCAGTGCTCACCTCATAGCGGTATTTCTTTGAGGACTCCTTGGTAGGTTGTGCCCGTCCTGTAACAGGAACTGTTGCCAAAAGAATTTTGTCTTGCCTGGTTAGGTGGATCCATAGCAGTATCCCAAGGCATGAATCATAGAATCATTAAGGTTGGAAAAGACCTCTAAGATCATCGAGTCCAACCATCAACCCAACACCACCATGCCCACTAAACTATGTCCCTAAGCGCCTCATCTACACGTCTTTTAAATACTTCCAGGGATGGTGACTCTACCACTTCCCTGGGCAGCCTGTTCCAAGGCTTGACCACTCCTTCAGTAAAGAAGTTTTTCCTAATGTCCAGTCTAAACCTCTCCTGGTGCAACTTGAGGCCATTTCCTCTTGTCCTATCGCTTGTTACCTGGGAGAAGAGACCAACCCCCACCTCGCTACAACCTCCTTCCAGGTAGTTGTAGAGCGCGATGAGGTCTTCCCTCAGCCTCCTCTTCTCCAGACTAAACAGCCCCAGTTCCCTCAGCCGCTCCTCATAAGACTTGTGCTCCAGACCCTTCACCAGCTTCGTTGCCCTTCTCTGGACACGCTCCAGCACCTCAGTGTCCTTCTTGTAGTGAGGGGCCCAAAACTGAACACAGGATTCAAGGTGCGGCCTCACCAGGGCTGAGTACAGGGGCACGATCACCTCCCTCCTCCTGCTGGCCACACTATTTCTGATACAGGCCAGGATGCCATTGGCCTTCTTGGCCACCTGGGCACACTGCCCAGCCTAAATGAGAAAGCCCAGCATAAAACTAAATGCTTTAGTTGGTACTTTCACTGTAGAGTAATGTATGTGTGGAGAGGACACTGCATGCAGTCTTGTGGGGAAGAGTTAGTGTATATGAACACAGAAGAATGTCCAAGCCCAAAAATAAGACTTGAGAGAATCTCAGAATACTGCTAGATTGTATTACATGGGAGTGGCATTTGAATATATTGCTATCTTTCTCATATTATAGTCACTGGCGTTAAGAGCTTTAACTGTATTTCCAGCTTAGGGGGCTGCAATTTGTTAATTGTGTGCAACTTATGACATGCTTCTAGCTCTACTAAACAGGACAGGTCTTGATGTTTCATCATCTAGCTCAGGTGAAAATATAGAGATGGGTCTCTTACAGGAAACCAAAGAAGGTGGTGATAAGCTCATTAAACAGCAACAGTAAGAGGATGTAAATTACTGATATTAGAGATGTCTGAATTGTGATAATTAAACTGATACTTACACATTTTAAGTGGCTTGGTCACCTTAGGTTCTGAGAAAATAAAAGTTGCTATTAAATCTTCTAGAAAAGTAAAGTTTTCTTAAGGCTGTTTTCATCTTGTGGATGTACCCTTTCTGTAACTGTTTAAATGTTAGTGTTTGAGGCTTCAAGCTGTCTAGACTTTTGTGCCTAGATATTCTTGAACGTGATCTTTGAAAGTGCAGTTGAATTGTATTCGACTAAAGTTGTTCTAGTAGGTCTCTGATCTCATTATTAGCAAAATTGACAGCAGGGATCTAGAATGGGTAGTCAAGAGGAAAAAAAGCCTTTGAAGGTATACAGGGCTGAAAACAAGCCAGCAGTGGGTGCGGATCTGTGCACCTAAAGGGCATTGCACAGCTAGCAGTGGCAGCATCCACCCTTTAAAGCTTTTCTTTCTCTGCTTTAGGATTGTGACCATGGAGTTCTATGGGAAAAATGACCTGACTCTAGGGATTTTTCTGGAGCGCTACTGTTTCAGGTGAGGAGGAACTTATTCTAAATCTTATTCTAAACAAAACAAAAGCTTTTGATAGCTCTGTGAGGTTGACCTGCTGCCCTTTTCACAGACTCTACTTCCTGTGCACTTAGGAGAATAGCATGCAAGTCTGCAGAGCTGGTTGTGTCCTAGTAAAGCTTACCACTTAAATCTGTTGCTCCCTTTGCTTTATTATCACGTGGTAGTGAAACAGGAACTGGATTTAAGAATTCATTTCTTACAAGCAAATACATCCACTGCTTTCCCACTTTGGCCCTGCCCCTCTTATTTCCTTTAATGATGAAGTAGAACAGATTACGAAACAAGAATTACAAGTTCATAAAGACAAATGTGTTCACTTAGCACTTTCTTGTAGCTATTAGGGCTTTAAGGGTCTAGTTAAGAGTATGTATTCCAAATGGCTCTTTTTCAAGACAAGCAACTGTACTGATCACAATTTTCTGAGGTTCTTGCTTGAACTTTCATGTGAGTTCTGGAAAAAACCCTACTCCTGTAGTGTTATCTGAATGTCTCAGAGTTAGGCTTTGTCATGTCTGCAAGGTGGCTAATGTAAATGGTCCAGAACACTTTTAACCCTGGTAAAGTACTGTGTAATTTATTTCTGCTGACAGAGGTGCAAGTTGATACATTTCAGTAATAACCAGTACTGCCAGAACCCCATACAGAGTCTCAGCAGGCTGTGAAGCTGGATAGGTAGCCTGTGGCTCCTCAAAAGACAAGATTACTCTGTTCTCTCCACTGGCCACCTGCAGTAGCAAAATGCTCTTCATGTTCAGCCTTCTCTGGAGGAACAAGTATTTCTCCATGTGCTGATCAATGAGGAGGAGGAGCTTAGCTGCACACTTTTAAATTCTTTTTTTTCCTCTGCTGACTAGCTAGTGTGTGCTAAAGTGAATGCTTGTCAATCTCCATAGTTTCAGTAATTAAAATTCCTTTTTTTTTTTTTTTTTTTCATATGAGGAAGGAGGATCTGGGCTTTTTTAGATTCTTTCTGTTTTTGAAGAATTCCCTATTTCACTTTGGTACCTAAACAGTTCAGCTTTTATTTTTCTGATGTCAGTCTCCTCCCTGACTTAAAAGAAACCCATCCAAAGAAGGGTCTTTTTTCTGTTCAGAGAGGTTATATGGCACTATTTTGCTCACCTCTTCCTTCAGGAGCTGAGACATTACCATTTTCAAGGCTCTTTGGCACATCTTTGTCCTCAGTAGCCTTTGCTCTGGTGCACTGCCAAAATGGTCTTCTAATTTGGTGTCAAGCACTTCCAGGTGCTTCATCCATATTTTTTGGACTAAATGGAATATGTTGGTAGAAAGTGATTCATTGTAAAAAGATTGTGATAGCAACCAGTGTCCAGTTACTGCTTTTGGGACCTATATAGCCTTTGCTGGCGAGGGAACTTCTCTACATGCTATTTCTAAATGAGTACAATTCATTCTGCAGAAACAGCCTTCACTAAATGCTTAGGAAACTTTTACAGTAAAGATAAATAGTACCATGATATTAAAGGCATATTAGATATGTTGAATCAGTTCTTCAGCAGTGCCTAGCATATGATCGTTCATAAGTGTTTCCATGTCTTTCGATAAGGCCTTCCTACCAATGCCCCAGCATGTTCTGTGAAACCCCAATGGTGCACCACATTCGTCGCTTTGTTCATGGGCAAGGCTGTGTGCAAATTGTGTTAAAGGAGCTGGACTCCCCGGTCCCTGGGTACCAGCACACCATTCTTACGTACTCCTGGTGTAGACTGTGCAAACAGGTAAGGATGAGGACTTAAGAATCATTGCTATTCCAGTTTAGTATTCCTGCTGTGACTGGCCTTGTACGGAAAGGCAGCATTTTTGAGAAAGCGCTCATCCCTGGAGCTATGGCTAAACTAGCACAAAATCTATTACTGATACAGATGTTCTTGCGTATCTACAAATTCCTCTTGTAGAATTCAGGCCATTGAGGGTGAAACATCTAGTGTGAGGTAGTCCTGTTGGAAAGTGTCAAACCTGGCTCTGAGAGGATAGGCTTAAGTGGAGTTGATATATTGCTGGAAACTGATTTCTGACACATGGAAGAAATGGAGTTGCCCTCTTGGAGGTGAAGAGTATGGTCCCTTCCCTGCAGTGAATCAGTACGAGCATCAAAAGAATGTATGTATGGGGAAGGGCAGGCACTGAGACCTACTGGCTTAGTAATTGGCTAAAACCACTTGGTATTCTTTGATCTGCTAATGGACTGGACAGTCTGCATTGCGTCAATGTGATGACTAGAGTTCCTTTAGTAGTCAATAGAAAGTAAGTAAAATCTTCGTTAGAGGAATGGTAAATTGCTTTAAAAAAACCACAGGATAGTAAGATTGTGTATTATCTGAAACTTGTTCTGTAATTTAGCTAAGAAAACATTACCAACTGGATACTCATCTCTAGCTAAACATTTTAAAACTTAAGAGCTGTCAAAGAGACGAGAATAAAACTTAATTAAAAAAGATTCATGCAGTGCCTGAAACGTAAAACATCTCAATTACCCATGTGGATGACTCAATTCACCTACTTATGCTGGCTTAAACATGGGTGTTGGATTTAAAGATACCTGGGGGAAGTTAATGTAATTGCTGAAGGCAAGCCCTATGCTGCTGTGTATACACCTGTTCTATAACCTCTTATTTCTGTGTGCTCATGTAAACACTAATATGTTTGTGGCTCTTAAGTATGTATAAAGTGGTGGCTACTCTAAGCTTGCAAGCACTGCTGAAGTTGAAATACACTGCAGAGCAATACCAATGTATTTGTAGCTGAAGAATCACCGCGGAAAAAGTATCTGATAAAACCACTGCTGCTGACTGGGTTGCTGGAAATTGTCTCTATGCAGAGAAATAGTATCCCAGATACAGGCTTCCATCAAGGATATGTTTGCACTCCCCCAAACTTAGTGCCTGTCATCATCAACTAGCAGTTGTTGTTTATCCAATGTATAGTAACTATGTGGCCTTAGCTTTGCATAAATGCTATCTTTGTTGTTGTTTAGTATGTTTCAGGGTCATGGGTGCTTCTGGTTCTAGAAATACTAGATTGCTGTCTAGGTTAGTCTGTCCTTAATCTTGATTGAAGGATGAAATTAAGACACTTGACTTTCAATTTTTCAGGTGACACCGGTTGTTCCCCTGTCCAATGATTCTTGGTCTATGTCTTTTGCAAAATATCTTGAGCTGAGATTCTATGGGCACCAGTACACTCGAAGGGCCAATGCAGAGCCTTGTGGTCATTCCATTCACCATGACTATCACCAGTATTTTTCCTATAATCAGATGGTGGCATCTTTCAGGTAAGGTCCGCTGCTAAAAACTTCCTTCTCTCTCTCTAGTACTATGTGATGCATATAGCTCTAGTACAGATTCATCAGGTCTGTTCTTCACTTTGAGTGCAGCGTGGGACAGCATAACTGCACTATAACTGCAAGTGCAGGATTGTGTGCTGGCTTGCAGAGGGCATTGTGGGTGCCATCACTGTCCTGGATGGGATGGGCAGAGTCTTTAGTGTTCTTGAGAATGGATGGCTCCAGTTCATGATACAGAAGGGGAACACTTTTCCCTGTCTAAATCTCAAAAACTTTCAGAATTTTGTTTTTTGCAATATGATCCGTGGTTTTACTTTTTGCCTAGGAGATAAATGAACAGGGTGTTATTGCTACTAAAAATAACTAAAGTCCGGGACACACTGACAGTGCCCCTTTTCATATAAGGGCTGCAAACCGCAATATGGTGTAGAATTAGTACTATGTGGGGAGGGTCTTGTTAATAGCTGTCGTATTGCCTTCTCAGCTACTCTCCAATCCGGCTGCTTGAAGTGTGTGTCCCACTCCCCAAGATCTACATCAAACGGCAGGCTCCGTCAAAGGTTACTATTTTGCAGGATCTCAAGGATTTCTCTCAAAAGTAAGCTTTGTTTTTAATGCATTCCGCAGCTTATTTGTATTTCGGACTTTTATTAGCAGAACACAACATCATTTTTGCTAGTATAGATAAGACTTGCTAAATATTCATTGTTTAATAGAAAAATAATGGTTTTAAACACGTTGGTATGTGCATATGCTTCTAAGGAAGAGCAGTATTGGAATCTTCTTTATTACCTTTACCTGCTCTGTCTGTACTGATCTCTCACCTTTTCGTCTAGCGGCAATTCAGCTGAAACATAGCCAGTAGAAACTAAGATTCTTCTCTTCTCCATCCCTGAATGTTGCACTGATATTTGAGTGGTATAGCATGTTTCTGAATGATGTTGCCAAGTAGCCACTGAAATGTTGACCATCAGCTAGTGTCTGAAATGTCACCTTTTCTTACAAAATGCCTTTTCAAACACAGCTAAAGTCTTTCTAATTCCTCCCTCTAATACTAAAAATGGAACAGAGGAGGTAGTCCTAGAAGGCTTAATCTGAAAACTGCAGGTAACACTTTGTACCCTTACCCTAAACAAGTTTAAATCCTGCCTTCAGTCCAGAAAAACTGCAAAGGCATTGCTCAAATCTATTGTCCAAACAACTGTTTTCATTATATTGGTCATGTGGCAACTAAACTCTCTGGTGTGTAAAAGACATTGCCTTTGTTAGCTATTGAGTATGGTAACAGCACACAATCTGGTACCTTCTTATAGTCTAAGGTAAACTACTGTAAGCCTAGACACCTTCTAAATGTAGGAACAAAAAAGTGGGAGACAGGCATGATGGAAACTCTATTAAAAGCAGCCTGACTGCTGTTCTGCCTGGTGGCAGCATTCCTGTATGACTGATGTCTCTGTGACCACCTGACTTCGAACCTGTGGAACTTTGTTTCGAGCTGAAATAGAGTTACTCACTCTGCCTGTCTCTGAGCCCTTCTGGTGGAGGTGTAGCTTGCAGTCCCAGATTGTTTTTAGACACAGATGACACAACAGTTTCCCTCTTCTAGTAATGTGTTTGTGATCTTTGTATTGCTCTCTGACAACTTCCACTGCTAAGAATATGTTGTGAAGAGGAATGTCAGTGTGTAAATTCTAGGTTTCTGCTATAGTAATGAGTTTTTACAACTTTCTCTGTAAATTCAGTGGGATAGCCTACTGTGCAGAAGACTGTCATGTGTCATCTATTGTGTTCTTAAACGCTAACCTTAAATGCATTCAGACTTTTCTTAAAGAATGTTGAAGATATTACAAGTAGTCACAGCTTAACTCTTTGCATCCCTGTCGACAGGGTGTCACAAGTGTATCTTGCTGTTGATGATCGCCTTGCTTCTCTGAAAACAGATACTTTCAGCAAAACGAGAGAAGAGAAGATGGAAGACCTCTTTGCCCAAAAGGAGGTAATGGACTATTTCTGCATTGGCAGACCATAGGCTGCAAAGTGTGTGGAGAAGCCATTCGGATCTAGTGTCATCTCTGGTCACAGAACACTGACAGTTTTACTTTTGGCAGATGGAAGAGGGGGAGTTTCGAAACTGGACTGAGAAAATCCAAGCAAGGCTGCTTTCATCATCATTAGACACACCTCAACAGCTGCAATCTGTTTTTGAGTCTCTGATAGCTAAAAAGCAAGGACTTTGTGAGATGCTACAAGCCTGGAATAATAGGTAAGAGGACACATGTTGGACTCATGAGCAACACTGATACCGTTTTGGTTATAAAAGGGAAGAGGTTCTTTTATACTTTTTCTCCCTGTAGTGGAGTTGCTATATAGTGTGTTATGGCAGCTTGTGCTGAATGTCCTTTACTGCTTAAGACCACAGAGCTGGTTGATTGGAACAGAAAATCATTTGAGGCCAGATAATAAAAGTATTGTGTTGTAGAGCACAACTTGCATCTGAGGGGAGAGAGTGTCATTTTGTGGTGGTTTAACCTCAGCCAGCAAACAAACCCCACGTAGCTGCTTGCTCACCCCC